CAGTATTTTTATATTGTTACTTATTCACTTTGGCAAAAGAGTAGGCTAGTTCTTATCACAATTTATGCAATTTTAAAATACTTTAAAATTACACTTATTACATGTGTGTGAAAATATGCAGGTGGGAGCATACATGGAGGACAAATTGTGGGAGTTGTTGTCTCCTTCCATCCTATGGGCCCGAGGGGTAGAATCAGGCCATTCATTTGGTGGTAAGTGTCCTTACCTGCTGAGCCACGTTGCTGGCCCTGGTCTTTCTCCTTATGGTGAACTCTAAAAACTTAGCTTTTGACTTTTTAGTCAAACACACACACAACTAAGTTCTATAACATCAGTCATGCTACATAGTCCTCCACAGTCATGCTAAAGAATCACATCCATGCTTCTACACGTATGTTTGAGTAGCAGTGCAAAACACAGAGAGAGAAATTTTAGGAGACATATACAGTTGAAACAACTGATATTTAAGTTCTGACCTGAGTGTCTTGGCAAACACTTGCAATTCTAGCACTTGGGAGGTGGAGGCAGGACATTCAGTTCCAGGGCACCCTTGATCTACACCATGAATTTGGGCCCAGATGGGGCTCCAAAAAGCCCTGTCTCAAAACAGCCAAAAATAAATAAGAAATTTCAATGAGGTGTACAAGGACAATGCAGGTGGATATGCTTCACTATTTTGGAGAGTTTTGGTTTTCACATTTTATGACGTGGTGATTTGAGTTTGATTTTTGAAAATGCAACAGATTTGGGCCAGCAAGATGGCTCCGTAGTTAACAAAAAATGCCTGCCACAGAAGCCTGGAAACCTGAGTTCGGTCCTGAGAGATCCACATGAAAGTTGAGAGAATGGACTCCATGAAGTTGTCCTTTTATCTCCACATGCTTGGGTGTCCCTGTACAGACTACATATGCATACACACACACACACACACAATAAATAAAAGTTAAGATTTTAGTTATACAACAGATTTTAGAGCAGTTTTATTTACAGAAATATAGTTCATATAGTTATCATATACTTCCCATCCAGTTTGTCCTCACTAAAACGTTCATGCTAGCATGGTGTGTTTGCTATCATTAATGAACCAGTATTTACCGAAAACATCATTGTTTATTTGGACTTCCCTTGTATAACTGAAAAGTCTTTTTGTGGTATAGGGATAGCATTGCATATTTAGTTGCTGTGCCCTTACACTACTTCTGGCCATAATAGTTTCTCAAATTGTTCCCTTTGGAAGATCTTGACAGTTCAGGAGAATTCTGTTTTAAGATTCATTTTATCTTACTTTTATGTTATGACTGATCGTCTGCATGTGTGTAAGTCTATTACGTGATGTGGTGCCCAAGGAAGTCTGAAGAGGGCTTAGATCTTTTGGAATTAGAGCCACAGGTAACACTTGTGAGGCAGCGTGGTGGGTGCGGGGAAGCAAACCCAGGGCTTCTGCAAGAACAGCAGGTGTTCTTAACATTGAGCCACTCTCCAGCCTAGTCAGATATTTTGTGGGATGCCCTTCATCTAATAGCTCTCTGAATGCTCCCTTCGCCCCTTATTCTGGGACTGTGGGCTTGAGGAAGAACACCACAGAAGTGCAGTCAGATCACTGTGACATTAGTTACTGGCAACACGATTCGTCACTAAGTTCAGACCACATGGTAAAGTGGCATCTAAGTGTTCAGTTCTGACCAACAACCAGCATCAAACTAAAAACAGAGTAGTTTTCCACAGAGAAAGCAGGGCTCAATTCCAAGTGCTGAGTTTGTATTGTGATTCACCTCTATGTGCCTGCCAAGGGTGAGACGGCCTCTAAATCTGCCAGTGCCACGTCAAGCACAACTGGATTTGCAGGCTCATATGGCCTGGGTGGCATGGTGACTTGCTTACTAGTCTGGACCTGCAGGAGAGATGGCTCTTCTCCCCCTGGGCACAGAGCCTGCTACCCCATGCCTCACTTTCTGTAGGAAGGGCCAGATATAGCAATTTACCTTTTATCTTAGAGGATGACTTCCTGACATCCTAAAATTTCACTGAAATAGGATTTGGGGGAGATATTCCACAACCATGACATTTGTTGGGACCATTTGGAATCCTGGCCTCCAGCTGCTCTTCCCTGCTAGAGATCTTTACTTTCCTTCTGATTTGAGTTACTAAAGGCTGTGTCAAAGTTGTTTACCAGCTCTGCTTCACGAGCACGTGCTGCCTTGCCTTGAGGATCAGAGGATAAGGTTTTCACCTATTGGCCCACCTGACTGTTGGGTATATAAGCCTCCAGGGTGCTATTGAAGAGGGGGCTTCTTACCAGTGACTAGAGGTCCGTGTCTCTGTCTTTGTGTGTGTTTATGTGTTTCAACCTCCAGCCCCTTGCCTGAAGCTCGCGAACTGTATGGTAGCGCATAGAGCTCAGACAGGCGTTGGGTGCTGCAGACATTGAAGCCTTACCGACAGATACAGAGTGACTGTTACTGACCAAAACAGGAGGAAGAGATTGGTCAGGCAGTTTAAAGACGGGACCTAGAAACGGGCATCTCTGCTTCTCATTCTTGGCAAGCAGTTCAGTCTTGACCAGAAGCTGGGACTATTCTTTCAGTAGCTCTGTCCAGGCTGGAGGCCAGGTATGTCAAAAACGTTTGGGGGTCTTGGTTTGTTCTGGTTTTTTACCTTTTTAATCCTTTTATCTAATGTGATTGCTCATTTTGTCAAGCTGACACAACCTAGAATCGCCAGGACAAGGGTCTCAGTGAGGGGCTGTCTAGGTCGGGTAGGCCTGTAAATGTATGGCGTTGAATTTCTAGCATGTGTGTTTCTTACCTTTTCAAGAACAAAAGAACACCTCAGAGTTCTTTGTCTCAAAAGACATTCTTTCTATAGTTTACTCTCTGATGTCCCCACCTCCTTAAGTTTATCGCCCACTTGTCTATACAAAGAGCAGTTTCCACCCAAAAGAGTAAGCAACAGTTTATTCTGGAGCCAAATCAATATGAGGCACCACAGTCCAGGAATGCAGACATGGGTTACTGTGTCACAGCTCAGACGGAGAGGGATCCTGGCAGTCGGGAGTCGAGATATTCAGTGTTAGAGCTGGGGTGGAAGAGTGCCCTGGCAGTTGGGAGCCAGGGAATAGCACAGGCCACAGTAAGCATAGCAGTTTACAGCCCTGCCCTCGGAAGATTTCCCCAATGTAACAGTTCTGTTCTGGCAGAAGAGGGCTTCCCCGAGCTAAGTTGTTACAACTCCGCTCTGGCACTCCAGAGTTGTAACAACTCCTGGAGGCCAGGGGAAGGGTACCCCAGTGAAAGTGTTACAAGTTACAATCCTGCTTTGCTCGGCTTCTGACTTCCTCCACGAAGTTGTAACAACTGACTATTAAGGGAAGGAAGGCTTCACCAGCTCAAGAGATTTACTGGGAGGGAAGAATCCAGGAGAGTGGCTGCCTCTACCAAGGTAGATGAGTAGTTGTAAACTGGACAGGCACAGGGCTTCTATAGGGCTTCTTAGGGGCAGAGTTTTCCTAAGGAGACAGGGATTGGTTAGTTTAGTTGGTCAGGGGCAGAGATAGCTGATTTCGGAGCCAAACTGTGCTTTCACTGGCTTTTCTAAGCTTTTTGGCTCTAGTTTTGGGGCCAGGGCATATTTCTTTCAGTGACTCTGATTCTAGGGACAAGGTGTGTGTGTTTCTTTGGCACTGGTTTCAGGATCAGGGTGCATTTCTTTGGGTCTGGGTTCAGGAATTAGTGTTTCTTTCCCTGGCTGTGGTTTCAGAGTCAGGGTGGATTTCTTTGGCTGGCCTTTTTACCCTACAGTTATCTCAAATATGTTCCAGTAGAACAGTTTCATTATTTGCTTGTTTGTTTTTGTCGTTGCTGTTTTTTGATAACAGAATGGATAAAATAGTAAGGTAGAGGTATTTTTAAAAGTACTTTGGTTGGAAAATCAAGTAGATGGTAGAAATGCTTGTTATAGATCTCAGGGGCTATCTGATCATATTCTCCACTCTTGGGTTGATAAAAGTTAATAGCCTGTACATTCCATAAATATTTACCCAGTAGCCACAATGAAGTTACCTCAGTATAGTGGCTGGCAATAAATTGGCTATTAAGGGGAGCTGAGGATAGCCCAAACAGCTTGCTCCTAACCTGTAACATTCTAGCTCTCCATATTCAGGGAAGTTTTAATTGGCCTTGTAGGATGTTTAACATCCTTGTAGGATGTCCGGGGGATGTGTTCCCCGGACATCAGTTTAGCCCCATCCTTTAATGTTTAACTGCAGGCAAAAGGGATCTTCCAAAGTGACCTCACCAAAAGCACTCAACGAAGACCAAGTCCAAGCTTATCAGTGTGACTTGGCTCTTTATGATTTGACGTTCCAGAAGACCCACCGCTACCTACCTGCTCTCTGCCCCTGAACTTCTTGCATGCTTCCCAATAGTCCCTGCCACGTATTCCTCCAGCTTGAGGCTGGAGCTAAGCCTACCCGCTCACCTACTCACCGTGGCGTCTGCGCCTCCACTGTCTCGGAGACAACTCAAGTTTCATGTCAGCTCCTGGAAGCTTGCTAACATCAGACTTTTGCTCTTCTGAAGTAAAAACTACCGTACAAAACAATATATTCAAGATGACACACAGGACAGCTCTTGCTTCACTGTGACCCCCAGCCGCTCCCAAGGCCACGCGGGCTGGAGTCTGTCACTCAGGAACCAGTGCCAACGGGAGTTTTATGGGGACGTCTCTAACTCCCTGGGACCCTTCACTACCAGGGCCTTCCATCTCCACACCACCTCGCCGGGGTCCTGCCGAGCGTCCCACACCCACTACTCCCGCCTGGGCACTCCGGGATGAGGCGTTGCTTCAGCTAGCAGGACCTGAACGTGCGCAGTGGACGTCAGGCGCGGGCTGTTCCCGGCTCCGCGGCTCCGGTCCTTCTGCGCAGGCGTATCCGTGATCCGGACGCCTCGCCTCCTGCCACGCCCCCTTGCTGGGGGTCAAAGGTCGCGGGGGCGGCCCATGTGACGCTCCCGGAAGCGCCGTGCGGACCTCGCGAGGCGTGGGGCAGCGCAGCCACGGCTCCAGTCGGCCGGACCGCAGGGCCCGGTGTGGCCGCCCATGAGTCGGGGAACCATGCCTCAGCCCGGAGCGTGGCCCGGGGCGAGCTGCGCGGAGACGCCGGCCCGCGAGGCGGGGGCCGCAGCGAGGGAGGGCGGGAAGGTGACGATCGGCGCGCTGCCCCGGGCCGCGATGCGGTGCCCGGCCGAGCAGTGAGTGAGCGGGGCGGGCGAGGGTGCGGGGCTGCCGTGGGCGGGAGGCGAGCTGGACGGAGTCGGGGTGCCGAGCCTGTCACAGCCGGGTCACCCGGGCCGCCCCACTCACGCTGTGACAGCTGTCCATCCCTACAGTGAGGGAAAGCTCCAGGAATTCGGGGAAGAGCTCCGAAGGGAGTCTTAGTTAATGAGCGACCCACTCCCCGGAGCCCTTTCCTCCAGCCTAGCTCTGAGGAAGTGAGGTCGCCCCTGTCACAGCCCCAGAACCGCCTCTCGACGTCTTCTCCCCGGGAAGACCCGTCGCCACTCGAAGAGAGTCGTACCTGTTGGACAGACTTTGCCCACAGGCTGGCCTTCTCCGCTTTACCCCGTCCGAGCCTGGCAGGGCGTCCCTTCCACCCATCGCTTTTAAATCCACACAAAAATCCGTGTTGACTTACTGGCCTAAGTCAGAGCGTTTCCTTTTTGCGTGAGCTGGAGGTGTCTGCACTTCAGAGTTCGTGGCACGGTTGCATATGCATCTGGGCTTAGAAAATTAAAAGCTCAGCCAGCCAGTTTGACTGATTTTCTTTTCTTTTTTTAAAAAATTTTTCTTTTCGATTTTTATGTGTAAGAGTGTTTTGCCTGCATGTCAGTGTACAGCATAAGTGCCTGGTGCCTGAGGAGGTTAGAGGTGGGTGTTGAACCCCAGGGACTGGAGTTGCAGATGGTTGTGAGTCACCAGGTGAGTTCTGGGAACCGAACCCCTGAGCCATCTCTCTTGCCTCCAACAAGTTTTCTTATCGACCCAAAATTTAAGTTGTAAGGTGTATCTAAATGGACCCCCCCCCCCCCCCGAGCTCTTTTAATCTCCTAAAAGAGTCTTTTGAAGCCTTGTTAATGAAGATGTGATATAATAGCTCGTTTGCGCGGTTCACTGGGGTGGGCATTGATCGCTTTTATTTACCGAGCACCCAAGTGTGGTAGTAATTATTCGTGTAATGAGTTAATGGTGACTGCAGAAAGATTTAGGGTAGGAGGCCTTAACTTTCTCCCTGAGCTAGGCTGGCAATTGAAGACTTAGTGACATTGGCAGTTAGCTTTGGGACTTGGAGAGCTGTTAGCTCTTTATCTGGGTCAGCATTCTCTGAGCTCCGGGCATAGTTGCTGGGTCTTCTGTAGTTAATGAATTTATATATCTTGGCTTTTGCATGAAATGTCCTGATTCCTAAATAGGGACACTTATTTTTCTTTATTGAATTCCATATACAGGTGTGTGTGACTTGTTCTAATCTGTGGCTGCCATGTAGGGACTATATAGGTTCAAGACTGAGGATGTCTCTGCTCTTCCTCTGGGCCCAACTTGGTTCCCAGCTGCTCCTACTGCCTGCCTTCCTCCTGTCCTGAGCCCTTCCCTAGATGCCCGGCAACTCAGCCTTGTCTTAGCAGTCAAGTCATTCACATGGCTTGAATGACCCCTGAACATTTGGGGCCAGAACCACATTCCCAGAAGTACACATAGTTGTTCGATAGTTTTTTCTGTTGTTCTCACGAGCACCTGGGAGAATAAATCCCGGAGGAAGGAGTCAGCATAGTCCTGTTAGTAGTCCTAAAGCTGAAAGCCTACGTTTGTCACCTGACACTGAGGAAACAGTTGCACGTTCTGCAGGCACAGTTTGTCCAGGGAGACACAGGTAGGGGATTTCAAGACCAAGTTTCTGAATGCTTGGGTGAGAAGTGACCTTCCCCCCCCCCATTACTTCTTGACCTCCTTAGCAACAGAGGCATAATTTATATGGACAGCAGACTTTACCACCTCCATGTTGGTAATTTGTGCTTTTATTAGCTTAATTTCTTTCTCACTGCCTGTGTTGCCTTTAATTATCTCATTCTCCTTTGACTCTTCATCAGGTGCAGAAATGGGGCTTAAGTGTAACTTAAAAATGTTGCTATTTCAACATCGTACCACCGGCCCCTCCTCTGTCTGAATCAGCACTATATGATAGTTAATTGGGCGATTTTTCTTTGTGAGGTGTTCTTAGGATCATTCATCATAGAAACATTACATAGTTCACAGTATAATAGCTGCATATGTAATACATGCAGCTTAATAGATGAGTGTAAATTTAGATTAATACTGTTTAAAATGTGCTTTAGAAATCTGTTTTGAACTCAAGGCCAGATCTTCCTTTCCACTCACAATCATTGAAAATGTTTGCACCTTAAAATAGGGAACACAGCAAGACTAGATATATTTTGAGATATTCTATGGAGTCACTTTTTACTGCATTTGAGGGGGAATTAATTATGAATCCAAATGATAGCCAATCTCCTGCAGCTGAATTATGTGTCTGGGCTGTGACTCCGAAGGGTACGCTGGCTGGCTGTAGTGTCACAGGCTGCTCTGATTTCTGTCCTGTAAGCTCACTGCATTTCACAAGGGCAAGCCTGGGGAAGAGGGACCATAAACCACATGTATACCCTGCTTGCTGAACAAGCCTCATGGATGGCTCACAGGAAAACCTGGGGTAGGGTCCCCTTTGAAGACCAGACGGAGTTGCCTTTCTGCAAGCTCCCTGGCCACTCATGTTACAGTTCTCCATCACTCTACCTTCTCACCACCCTAGCCCTGGGCTCGAATCCTTTCATGTTTGGTTTCTGCTCCATCTGTGGAGTACCCTTAGACAGTTACACCACACTAGACGTGGTCAGCCCCCATCCACGCTCAGTCTGTTTGAGGATGGAACTGGAGTTGAATTTGGGATTCATGGTGGGTGGGCAATGCGGGGAACAATACCAGTAGTCTGTGAAGCCCTGTGAAACTGAGGGCAAGCTTGTTTCCACGCTACAGTAGGGATTCTTAAAGGGCCTGTGAGCACCCCCTGTCCTCCAAGTATTAAGCTGTTTTCAGGGACTGCCAGAGCCATTGTTGTGCTATGTGTTTTCTGCCCTTGCCTAGTCTCCTTCTGAGGGAGCAGGTGAGAATAGGGTAGTGGTGGGGTAGTAGTGGAGCCCGGCTCCTTTCCTCAGCCGAGGAAGAACCTACGTCAGGAATCATCCAGGAGGTCTGCAGACCTCATTGTGGAAGTCACATGGAAAGTCCACTTGCAGAAGTGGGTGGGATTTTGGCCTAGGTGCTGGTACTTTCCTGCATTTGCTGCGTTGTTTACCCCTATCTGCAGTCACTGAACAGTGGAAAAAGGCTAGGTTGAGTGGTCTTTACTTTTCCTGTGTGTGGGGGGGAAGGAAGACATGTTGGCGTCACACTGGTTGACTGTCTCAGCAATACTGCCTGAGCCATTGGTCTTCTAGGGACAGACCAAGTTATGTGTATGAACTGCAGGGCTCCAGTTCAGACCTGAACAGAACTCCATACTCTGTTCTTTTTCTTAGATAACTAAGGGTGCCTTGGTCAAACATTCTTATTGGTGAGTGATTAAGATACTATTTGGGGGTTGGAAAAATGGCTAGTAGTTAAGTACTTGCTGCTCTTGTATAGGACCTGGTTTAGGTCCCCAGCACCCTCTTTTGGCCTCAGGTACCAGGCACACACATGGCATACAGACATGCATTCAGGGAAACACGCATTCACATAAAACAGTAAAATCAAAATAAATACATCTTTTTTCTTATGAAGAAAACATTTTAAATACATCTTTTTAAAGCAAAAACATTGTCTTGTAAGCTGTGTATATAAATTAGAATTGTTTTCATGACTTGAATCAGAAATTGAAAATACGGCTTCATTGAGCTCTGCCTTTAATTTGCCATTTTCTTGGAAATATGATTTTGTCTGTACTAGTGAGCATTTACAAACAAGTCTCTTTGTTTTTTCAAGACAGGGTTTTTCTGTAACTTTGGAGCCTGTCCTGGAACTAGACCAGACTGGCTTCAAACTCAGAGATTCTCCTGCCTCTGCCTTCCAAGTGCCGGGATTAAAGGTGTGTGCCACCATAGCCTGGTTTTACAAACAAGTCTTAGCTGCATTTAATGGTCTGGTCCTGTAATGCCAGTACTCTGAAGGTGGAGACACACACACACACACACACACCTTGAAAATTTCTTGATCTAGAAACCTTTCTGAGTAATAGGTACTAGCTATTAGCTTACTCAATTTGGTGTGTTGCTCTCAGAGTAAACTAGTTTAGCTCACGAGAAAATAGGTTAAGTAGTAATTTATGGAACTTGAAAACATATTCTTCCAAATAATGCCATGGGGCTACACTAGTTATTTCTTGTTGGGATTCATTATCATTCTATTATCTGCACAGTTTAAAAGTAACTAGCATGTCTGGACATTGGTCGTTTTTCTCTTTACTGTTTTATAGCTGTTGTGTTTCTAGGAGAGATGTTTCTGTTGTGCTCTTCTGAGCCTGTGGGGTTTGTGGCCTCTGTTCTTAGCCAGAGTGGACACGTCTTTACCAGTAATGGTTGCCACCCTTTTCGAGCTGTCAGCATCGGTGACTTTATCTTAATATTCCTTTTCCTCGCATTGTTTCGTTATCTTCCCTTCCCATAAAAAACAAAAAACAGATCTCTACCTGCTTCACATTCCCAGCTTTAAATATTATTTCCTTTTGTAGTTGTTTTCAGTGTAATATGTTGACTCTTAAAACATCTAGACCACGGTTTTGTTTTGTTCTGGTGTTGGGGAATAAAGCCCCAAGACAGAGTTTAAATGGAACCATTTTATTTCATTCTTTACTCTTCTAGAGAGTGAGCTCCAGGGAATGGGGCCTGCTAGGCAAGTGCTGTTTCTTCCTGGTCACCCTTAGATGGGGGGATATTTCATCCTGGCTGTCACATGCTTTCCTTTCTGGCTGTGTTGATCTCCATTCCTTAAAATTAACATTTTCCTGTTCTCCAAGGAAACAGCTTTGGGTTCTATCTACAGCTCGCCTTTGGTGGCCAAGGAAATTAGCAAATGCTGCTGAAGGATCTGGGTGAACTGTCCCGTTGCTTAAGTAGCTTGTGGATGCTGTGGGCTTGTCCCCAGCTTGTGCTTTGCTCCTCTTGTAAGAACTGTGTCCTGAACACTGCCTTCTACTGCCACCATTCCTGTGCTGTTTGGCCTTCCCTTTGTACTCACCTCTCCTGTTCCGCTGTTTAATCTTCCTGTTGGCCCTTCTAGGAATTTGTAGTTGTAAAATGCTTTTTTGGATTGCCTCTTCTGGGCACTGGGGTTGTGATTATGATTTTGGTTATTTTGTAAACTAAGAACAGAGGACCAGAGGGGAGACAAATGTTCATACAGGCTGGCCACAGAATTTGCCTGAAATGCAAATATCTGATAGGCGGTTAGAACTTAGCTGGAAGAGGAACCGCAGACCATACAGCTCTTACCAGCCTTCTCATTGAAGCTGAGAAAGCGAAGGGCAAGATTGGGGAAGTGTTGTCCAAAGACAGCTTCTGAGAATTTAAATATATTAAGAAAGTGATTTGTTTTAATGACTTGTTTTAGAGAATCAGAATTTTTCTGATGGGGGTTTGACAGAAAGATGTTGTTAAATTTATGAGAAAAGAATGAAAACATGTGGTCATATTTTATTTTTGGCCTTTGATCTGTTGTTCCCATGCATCTGTTTGCTTTTAACTTTGGCGCAAGCTCTGTAGGTGACATCATGCCTTTTGCCTGAAATGTCACTGGGACATATACTTGTTCTCTTACCATCATACTGCTATGTGTACATACATACACGCTAGGGAAAACAAGGATAAGAAATGGTTACTGGGCAAATTGTTTATTAGTACATATCAGTGGGTAAATGAAAATTAACAGCATTAACCTTTTTGAGTACTCATTAAGTATGTCTTTCTCAACAGTAGTCCTGTGACGTAACTGCTCTGTGTAGAGGTAATAAGGGCTGGGTAAATGGTAGCTAACCTCTGCCAGCCTGACTTGAATGCCCATAGCAAGTGTTGCTCTCTGTAGAGGGTGGGCCCACACAGCATGTGTCAGGGTGTGGTAGGATAGAGACAGGATTCCAAACCTGTTGGGATGAGAGAACACCTGTAGGAAGTCGCAGGTGTAAGAGTACAAAGCAGTTGTGACTTTTTGGGCTGAGTTCAATTATCAAATCCATGCTGGAGGGAAGTGGTGGATATATAATTTATATATATTTCACACACATATATAACTCATGTGTATGAGTATTCATATATATGAATGACAAGGTCTTTGTATACTCCAGTCTGGACATCAAGATCTGTCACACCTTCTCGAGTACTGGGAGTATAAGCATGTACCACCACGTCTACACGGTGTAGATTTAGACATCTGTTCTCTCACACTTGGGAGACACTGGATGATTCCCACTGCAGTCCACTCTCTAGCACCCTTCTTCGTCTGTCCATCCTGGTCTGCTGTTCTGTCTCCCAGCTCTGCCTGCCAGGCCATGCCCACAGATAACGGGATCAGAAGCAGAAGTACCATACTCATTCACTTGGCTCCTTCTCTTTGAGCCTGGCACCTCTTCCTTCCTGGATTCTGTTGTGTTTGAAGCTCCTCTCTCCCCAGGCTGCTGTGCGCACGGGGCACTGTCATGGGAAATATGGGGAGTTGGAGGTCTGCACGCTCCTTATGTGGAATCTCCTGATTTTTAAGCTCAGTGTGTTGCTGTTCCTTCAGATGGACTTACTTCTTCCAGTTCCTGAGCCTTCGAATTCCTCCTGGCTTACTTCTTTGTTTGCCTTGCCTAGCTGCCCCTCCAGCAGCTTTGGGCTTCCCTGCCTGCACAGTTTGCCTCTCTGCCTCCCCCCAGTTTTTCACATCCATATCTCCACTTTCAGCAGATCGCTGTGTTCTGTTCCCTTTATTGTTATTTGGGGATAATAGTATTTTTGAGGCGTTGGGATTAATCCTAAAGCTGGAACATGCTAGGCAGCTCTAGCCAGGCCTCTAAATATTCAAGGAAAGGGAGGTATTTTCAAAGTGGAAGCCCCATTCATTATATTTGTCTAGAATTTTTCCCCTTCCTAATATTTAGTATGTTACCAGAAGTGATTATATTCTTTAAGAATAGTGATAGCAATTAAAACTTGTGGGAACATAACAGCATTTCTGGCTAGGGAACAGGAGAAGCCTCATTGAGGGTTTTTTAGCTTAGGGGGCTTATTATAATTCCCTCTTTTCATGTTTTTAGAGTTGCTGCTGTCAGAATTGCTTGTAACATTAGAAAAGTTGACATTCCTGTGTAAATTATTAGCACTATTTCTGCTTTTGGAACTTGGTGGAATCATTTCAGGAGCGTTACCAGATTAAGATGCATGCTAGTCGATTTTAGTTGATTTGGCCTTGGAGTCCTTTGCTGTATGAATGGTCTCATTTAAAGGAAGCGGTTCTGAAGCAGAAGAAAGTGTTGAGGGAGAGACACTAGCATTCTAGGACCCATATTTTATTACTGTGGCATCCTATATGGGAAAACAGTTATATTTCTGTGTCGTAAGCATTTCATAGCAGCTATATGTTATCACACATTGGGAAATGTCAGTGAACAGAGTTTGAAAATATCTACTTTGGTGTGATTTCAGCGAGGAGGACATGTACCGTGCTGCAGATGAAATAGAAAAGGAGAAAGAATTGCTAATACATGAAAGAGGGATATCAGGTATGTTTGGAATTGTTTTGTTTGTAGACTTTTTTTGTTTATAGAAAATTCAGTTAGATTAGCATATCTGCTTTCATGAAATGTGGCCTGTATTTCCTAGGAGGTCCTCTCCTACATGCAGTGTCTTCATATGAATCACCCACCTGGCTGACATGGATTTAGGGAAGACTTTTCCCTGCATCTGTTGACTCTCCCTTCTCTCAGTTTATTTGTTTACATCCTTACAACCGTTTGGATGTGAACACCCTTTTCATTTTCAATTGCAAGATGTTTTGAGAAGTTAACTATACACATATCTTTGTCTGAAGAAGGCCTTGTAATCTGATTGACTACAGCAAAATGGCCATGTGCCTGATAGCGCCAGTCATTTTGTGACTGTACACAGGGTGCTGCTCTGTCAGACTTGCTCTTCTCACTCCCATCAGTGCTCCTGGTGTAGGCTTGGTGCTCCTCCTGGCTCCCAGGCTGAGGTGAAGTGTGTCCTTCCATTGCAGGCTGGCCTTTGCAGAGACTGAGGAGAGCTCCAGAGTGCGTGTGACTGTTACATCTCCTCATTGCTGTGTCGTCACATGTCTGCTGTTTCTAAGAACTGGCTTCTGTTTCACTGACAGCTAACAAAAGCTTTATTGTGATTAGATATATAAGGTTTTGATGTTTTGAGTCTTACTCTAGAGCTGGTCAACTTCCCAGTGTGGCAGAGACATGTCATAGTGGTCCTCCCTAGGACTTCACAGGATGCTCAACCTCCAGCGTGTTGCTACAAATCACTCAGGGCACAGAATACTGTTGGGGCATCGTGCTCCTGTGTGTTTGCCCATCGTGTGCTAACGCTATAGAACCTCCTGCTTCTCTTCCACTTTCTGGGCTCTGTTGTGATTCCTTTCTGTCCAGCGTTGTTCCGCACACAGGCATCCAGACTTTTCAGTGGGTCTTGTGACGTGCAGCTTCAGTTTGACAGCGCTCCTTATAGCTCAGTCCTGCTGAGCTCTCACTCTTCCTTAGTGTCCTGTAGCAGCACCACCTCCTGCACTGCAGAGCTCGGACCAAGACCAAGTTGTTGGTCTTTGTTGGTGAAAAGATATCTCATCTAACATCGCTCCATAAAGAAAGGCCTTCCAGGCCTTGACCTTCTATACAGCTTTATAAACAAAGATCTATTGGACCTTTTAGGTTTAACGTTTGTCCTTGGCAGCTTTTATGCATGCTCAGTAGTTGGGACAGAAACTGTTTGCTCCTAAAACCCAGGTTATTTCCTACCAGACCCATTGCAGAAGAATTTTGAGATTCTGATCCTAGTCTGTCTTCCGAGAGTCCCAGCTTCCTGGAGGAGTCCCAGTTTTGTTCTTACCCTTTGAGGTATGATTATTATATTCATCACTTGTGTGATGCATAAGGTCCAGACCTTGCTTCCTTGAGTGCCTTCTTACCACTTTTGGGTTTTTACTTCTTTCTTTCTTTCTTTCTTTCTTTCTTTCTTTCTTTCTTTCTCTCTTTCTGGTTTTGGCTGTAGAAGTAGTCGTCTTCCTGGAAGCAGCAGTAGGAGCCTGTATAGTTTACAGTCAGAGGAGGGTATTGTACTCAGTGAGCTGATGAGGTCAAAGCTGCCTCGTCCTGTGCCTCCATCTCCTAGTCTAGTCAGCCTGTGGGGACTGCTGGTGTCCTCCCAGCTACGGTAGCTGTAGCTGTGCAAGTATGTCATTTCCCCTAGCCTCCCAGCTCATGCAGACTCTGAATCAGGACAGGACTAGCCTTCTGCCTTGGCGTCTTGCCTTTATAAGAGCCCTGGGCCAGCCCTGTGACCTGAGATAGTAGGATTCCCCAGCCCTGCCCAGGGGTCAGAAAAGAGGATGGCTGGAAGGAGCCTTCATGTCTGGAAGCCTTTCCTCTGCTGGTAGAGTGTGTTCTCACCAGGTTCACACCCCTGTCTGGCAAGACCTTATGGCCCAGAAAGGGTCCTGACTGCGCATTAGCCGTTCTTCCTGTGTGTGGGAGCACTTCCTTATTCTGAGCGGCCTCTTAAAAATTATTTCTTGAATTTCAGAGATGAAAGGTCTTTATTTGAGGGTTGGTTGTGCAACAGTGATTTGTGGTCTCTCTCACTTCTAGGTTATCCCTGATGTATTCCATGCAGAAATACGCCTGTGTTATTTGTGCAGGGATTATTTCCCCCTTTTGTAAAACAATGATTTTTCTTTAAGAAATGATGAACAGTGAGGGATTTTTGTTTTTTGTTCTTTTTGAATAGGCAGTTTTTTATAATATACTTTAAAAACAAATTTCTTTCCAAAACTGTAGGGAGGCTTTGGTGCTCCTTGGTCAATCTGGCTTCCACTGGTCTTTTCTCCTCCTGAAGAAGTCCATTCAGGGTGGGATCTTTGTGCTCACTATCTTACATTCCCAGCTCTGACACAGTGTTCAACACGGTTAGAACTCAGTGAATATATGTTGAATTGAATGAAACACTTATTTCATGTACTAGATACTCAGGCTTGCTGTGTTCTGAAGTACTTCTAAATTCATCTCCTAAAACATTTTTTAATATCTATGTTCTTAACAGTTTTTTTTTTAAAACCAAGATGAACCCAAGAATTTGCCCATTTTCCTTTTGAAGTAACAGACTGTCAAAACAAACATGCACCTAGTCATAGGTGTGTATCAATACATCAAACCTCGTCGGTTAAATAAGAAAATCTTACTTAAGGCCCTTGATTTAATCCTCAGTACACACACACACGAAGGGTCTTAGGGGAGAAGAGACAAATGGTAGCATTTGTTTAAACTTGAGGTGTACTAGTTTTGGGAGACATCAAAGAAGTCTGTGGATTAGCCAACAGCAAGCGCTCTGTTACTTTTTGGCTTGTTAACTATAGTCTTTTAGGTAAATACAAATATATTTTTTGTTAGGTATTATCTCTGTCTAATAGATATGAAAAATTACAGATGGTGGAAGTATTTTCTTATGGTTCGTATACTTGATTCTGATTATAAAAGTGTTCATAGATACCCGTGGATCAGATGAGTGTGAGCTGGGAGGCTGCTGCAGCGCTCTTGAGCACACACAGAAGGGCTACTGCCTGACTCAGGATTTAAGTCTCCACACAGGCTTGACTAGCTGCTGCGTGGAGAATTGTCTGGAGGGTGTGGTGACAAGGGGTTCCATAGAGAGACCACTCTGGCTGCTGGAGGTGATGTGGTGGTGGCTGTGGCTAAAGGCATGGGCAGTGGTGGGATTCAGGAAATTTTAGACTAGAGATAGTAAGGAGTAAAGGGTGGATTCCCCGAGTGCCTTTATGTCCATACTCTGGCGCATTACTTGTTTGTTGATTGTTGCTATTTTCATTCTTCAGCAGAACCCAGGTTAAGTGTGGCTCCTGAGATGGATATCATGGACTACTGCAAGAAAGAATGGAGGGGAAATACTCAGAAAGCCACGTGCATGAAAAAGGTACGGCCAAGGTGCACGAGTTCTTCAAACTGTTTGTCATAAGTTACATATCATATTATGTTTTTTGACGTTGGTTAAGACAACTGCTATAATAAGACAATGCTGTAAATATTAGAGTTCTAATTTTAGAGATGAGGAAACAAACTGCAAAGATAAGGTCTTGTTTGAAGTCAGAGTATTAATATAGAAGCAACATCAGTTCTTCAGGAACTGTCTTTGGATAACACATAGCTGTGTGTTGAGAATTGAGCCGGCCAGTGGTGGTTCTCTTTGAGACCTTTGGGAATGCCCTCCTTAACTTGATCTTGTAAAAGCCTGAAGGACAGGCAGGGGTGACTCTACACCTCCTGTGCTTGGACACATGCTGTCTAAACCCTAGGGTACAGAATTCTCCTGTACTCTCCTTGCAGAGGAATCTTGAACCACTTCCCTCATTTAAGGTGTGCCAGGAGCTACCTTCACTTGGATCCACTGCGTAGACTGGCAACATTAACGGAGTTTGCGAGACAGCGTGGTAGTGGAATTGCAGCGTACCCTCTAGGTTCTACCTATAGAATGTATCTGCATTCAGCATTGCTTATTCGGAGGGTAAACCATGTGAAACTGCCTCTGTTAGACCATTCTTGAGCTACAGAACTGGCAGGGCAGACTCCTACCTAGTACTTAAGGTTCTATCTTTTGTTACTTTTTTTCTTGGATTATTTGCATTTTGAATTTTAACATACTTCTTGTGTTTTAGAAATACTTACCAATCTTTTTGATTTTTTTTATTATTTATATTTATGTGTACGGGTGTTTTGCTACCTACCATGTTTGTCTATATTAGATGTGTGCAATGACTTCAGAGGCCAGAGAGACTCTGGAATTTTAGTTACTGATGATCGTGAGCTGCCACATGGGTGCTTAAGTTTGAACCCAGGTCCTCTGGAAGAGCAGCTAGTGCTCTTAACCACTGAATCATTTCTCTAGCCCATATTTGATAAAATCATATTTGGTAGAAAAATAGTTTAATTTTTTTGCTTAGGGTTTTAACTTTTTCAAAATTTAGTTTTTCTCATGGCTTTTTTTTTTTTTAAGAAAATATTATTCATCTTTTAGGGTTCACCTCAGGTCCCCAAACGCTTTTTATCTCTTGGAAGTCTGAGAGAGAATGCCAGTCTCAGCCCTAATTCTTGTAAATCTGCATCCTAGGCTCTTGTATATGAACTGAACTTTAATGCCTGCTGAAGGTGAAAGACTCACCTTTTAGAGGCCTGCTGACCATGCTATCAGGTATTCAGGTTCCCAACTTGCCCAGAAAACTGAGTTGGACCATGAGTCTATTTTCTCACCTGCCCAGAAATGCCTTCACTGACTAGTAATTTATTCTGTTGCCACAATCTTTTCCAAAGATCTGGTTTAACCATTGGCATATTAAAGTTCAGTACTGAAGATACTCACGTTACCCATATATACCATATTGAAAACGTATGGGAGAATCATTCCTCTCTGGGGTTGGTTTCAGGGAAAGATGTGACCAGTCAGTAATCCAATCAAAGCACCCACATAGAGGTGCAGCTCTGAGAGTGGTGGTGGAAGGTGGCCGTCATCTACTAACTTCAATTCTTGACTTTATGTTAGTCCCTATTTGCTTAATTACTTGTATTTAGTTTTGCATACTCTTTTGGAAGTGTTTATGAATCCAGATTAATTTTTTAAAAGAGTTAGATCCATCTCTGAAATGACTATGTTCAGGTTCAGACCTGTAAGATGCTGTGGATCTGAACCTTTTCTGTCACCCGATGATGTAGCTGTGGTGTCAGATTGTGGTGCATTACTGCCGAGTTTGTCACGATGCTGTTTTAAACAAGCCTGGACTGCCAATCATGCAGTCACAGCACTTGTTAGCTGACTGTGTCACTCTTCTGTGTAGAACAGTGTGCCCTGATGCCAGCAGCAACTTCATACATCTCATGTTCACTGTATCTCTTGACTGTATTGCTTGACTTTAATCTCTTTTGTTCATTGTGTCTTGTTAGCCCAATTGCCCTGCTAATACTCAGTAAGAGCCTATCCAGCCCAAGTATATAGTAGGATATACCAGCTAGGTTTGTGCAAGGGTACTGTGTCCCAGTGGTGACATTGCCTAGTGACTTATTCTCAGAATGTATTACCATCACTAAGTGACATATGCCTGAATGTACACACACACACGAAACTCAGGATTTTGTTTATTTTTAAATCTGGAGATAGAAATGGTGCATGCCTCTCCTCATTTTCCTGTTCTCTTTATTAAAGCATTTGGGATTAATTAACCACAGATGAAACTTTTCTGAGTGTCACCAGTGAATGACGAGTGCTCCCTCAGTTGCTTAGGGAGGGCTTGGAGAATGGCTAGTGCTGGATGATTAGTTTGTATGTCGTCTCTGTTGCATTTGATATAGATCAGCGGTTCTCAGCCTGTGGGTCAACCCCTTTGGGGTGCCATATCAGATATCCTGCATATCAGATATTTACATCATGAGTCAAAAAATAGCAAAATTATAGCAACAAATTATGCAGCAACAAAGAATTTTATGGTTGGGGTCACCACAACATGAACTGTATTAAAGGGTCACAGCATTAGGACGGTTAAGAACCACTGTTACAGATGCTGAGATTTCATACAGCATCAATATTTTAAAGTAAATGGAATTATAATTAGAGATTTGAATGTCTAACAAGAAAGGCTGAACTATTCTTGTTTCCCACTTCCCAATGATTTAGGACAGTTTCTTTTTTTCTGTAGGAATGGAACGTTCCTTGCTCTCTTAAGCTAGGAATCACCATCTGAACTCTTTGTTTTCTCCCAAGGGCTACGAGGAAGTTTCTCAGAAGTTCACATCTATAAGGCGAGTTCGTGGTGATAATTACTGTGCGCTGAGGGCCACGCTGTTCCAGGCCATGAGCCAGCTCACAGAACTGCCCCTCTGGCTGCAGAACCCGGACCTCATGCTGGTATGTTGCTGCATGGATCTGAATCCCCACGTTTCAGGAAGCTCTTGTGAGAAGACATCTCTTTTCTGCTCATCCTGTGTGATGGTGTAATATGCAGTGTGATTTCAGACTTGTTCAATTTTGTACATCTAAGATGATTTTATATATTAAAAATTGACCAGAAATAACCAATGTTTTCCAGAAGAGAAAAACCGGTGAAAGTTAATACAAACAATTAAGCTGAATTAGAGTCCAGATGTTTAGAATTCATCAAAAAGCACATAGAAACAACTTTATTTTATTTCTGTGAAATAGGGTGTACAATTGATTATTGGGGTCCAGCCAGGGTTTTAGACGCAGATCAAAAACGTATCCTCTTTCCAAGGTGAAATGTTGGTGTTGATGTAGAGAGACATTTCCTGGGCTGGTTGTCTTTAGTGCTTTAAATCTGCCACGAGGTAGAGAGTCCTTGGGATCTGTGCCTCCAGGTGTCCCGATACAAAGAAGGGCACATGCCGACATTTTGTGCGGTGCATTATAAAAGGAAGTTCTGTAAATCCTGGCACTAGTTCACATTTGGTTTTTATTTACATGTGAGATGAAGACTTTTTGGAGTGTGGGGGTGGACAGAGTTTTAACTCTGTAGCCCAGGCTGGCCTCAAACTTGTAACCCTGCTGCTTCAGTCTGTTGCCTGTGGTGTGACAGATGTGAGCCAGCAGGCCTAGCTGATTAGAACATGGCAAAGATGTTACTTCTGTGTGCTCTAGCCCTTACCAGTGAGGATTTCCCAGGAGGAACAGTTAAACTGCCGGCGTAGTGGATGAGTGAATATGTGCGGGCTGACTTGTCCTGTCACACTGGGCTTCTTACAGAGGCATGGACCGTGTGCTTTCAACATAACCAGTAAACGTAATGAATGTGTTCTGTAACGTAGTAGATACAGATTCCTTCTTAGAATGGTGTTATTCCAAGAGGAGAGACTTTGCCCACAGTACTTCTAAAAAACAAAAGAGAGTACTTTGAAAATTATTATTAAATCATATTGATTCTTTTGTATCTTTACCTCTGTGGGGCTTTTTAGATTTCTGGGCTTATTTGACACTGAATCTAAGTTTTTATACTTTCTAAGAGCTTGTGGTGCACATAATGTCCTAAATGCCACACTTGAAGCAGGTCAGGTCCCAACCTGGAGATTAAGGGTGGACAAAGCTTTTTAGTTTTTAAGTATACTGTATTTTAAAGATGTCTGGATGGGTGAAACCTGTGACATCATTTGCTTGAGAAAGACACTAAAGTCTTTCATTTTGGGATGATGCTTTTGACACTTGCGGTTGTCATGTCATCGAGACTAGAGTTATATGTTAGAGAAAACAGGCTGTGTTGTGCTTAAGCTACCGAGTGATTCTTAAACTCTTACTGTCATCATTTCTTGCGTCGGTGTCTTTTTCTTTCTTTCTTTGATTCTTTGAGACAGAATCTCTGTGTAGCCCTGGCTGTCCTGTAACTCACTTTGTTGGCTAGATTGGCCCCAAACTCCAACTGTCTCTGCTGGGATTAAAGATGTGCGCCACCACTTGGCCAGTCTGTTTCTTACATCTCCTACTCCAACAGAAAGCTGACCTGTGTGTTTACTAGAAAGGAATGGTGATTTATGTGGAACCCAGTTGTGATTCATGAAAGCATTTCAAGTTATATTTACTTTTTCCTAATAAATCCAACTCCATTGTTCTCTCATAATAGTTCCTTAGAAAGTGTGTGTGTGTGTGTGCGCACGCGCGTGGGCGTGCAAGCTTCCATACACATGTGAGTGTGTAGGGATCAGAGGACAACTTTGTGGATTTGCTCACCTTCTACATTTACTGAGACTGAACTCAGGACAGCAGGTTTATATGGCCAGAGCTTTTTCCCTGCTGAACTGTCTTGTTGGCCTGCTAACCTGCTAGTTTCTTTTCTGTTTTATTTTGTGGACTTTTCTCCAAGATTCCTGCGTCAGGAAGTGTACACCTGGACTTGGTTAACATTTGATTGGCAGATTGACTGGTGAGTGACTGAAGTGAGGAAATTAGGTGTTTTCCCCCAAAGGTAACTGAGCTGATTGTTGTTCCTGCGCTTTAGGTGACTGCCCATGGTACAGCATCCTTAGCTGCTCTGGGCTGCCCTTCCTCTCCTTTTCCACCTCACACGTCTTTGGAACAGGTATTTTTTGTCTGATTGTAGTTCTTGGAGCTGAGTTGTAATTTCACTGTATTGCCACTTGAGGGCATGTTCAATTCTGAGTAAGACGATAGTGACTGCATGGCTTTCCCCTTGAGTGATGCGGAGCACTGCTACTGAGGTTTCCATTTTTATAGAGACAAAACCATCTTAGTTGCACACGATTGTGCCAGACTGAGAAAGCACAATCAGAATTACTGTTCATGAAAGAGTCTGTGAGTCTTAGGTCCCAGTGGCACTGAACACACGTCTCATTTAAGCTGTTTATTACTGTTAAACAAGTTCCACATAAGACATTGGGGATGTGATTCTTTTTTCTTTACTCCAGGGGTAAAATCTCACTTTCTCTGTACTTATAAAATTTTAATGACATTTGTGTGTGCACATGTATGCCTGCCTCTCCTGTTGAGCCATCTCACTGGACCACAGAGGTGAAGTCTTAGCAGTGTAGTGACATGCCCATACCCAGCCCAAGTCTATGGTTTTCATTCTGACACACCCAGGACTGTTGGGAAAATATAGTGTCCCATGATCTCATTGATCAAATTATGACTTTCAGAGTTCAAATTCTGTTGATGTGCAGGGAAAAATGAAATAGTCCAGGAACAAGAACAAAAAATGAGGACCACAATAGTACTTGTCCTTCTGTCGATAAGTAGGGAAGGTACAGCTCCCTTACCCGCCCATTGCTGCTGAATCTCACTCATCTTTTCCGTATTTTGGTGTTGATTAAATATGTGTGTTAACATTGCTTAACAGACAGATCTTGTGTTTTTGGTATCAGAAATTAGGCTTTGCTGTCTCACCAGGGACAGGCTTTGACTTGACCATAGGCCTCTGTGCTCACAGTTACCTCGCTGAGAACTGATGAGCGGTAAGGCTGCCTGCCAAGGTGGCTATTGTGAAGACCCAGTATGGGGACTTCCGTAGTTTAGCTTCCTGTTTGCCTGTTATGTCCTGTGGGTGGTGTCCTGCAGGCTGCACTCCTGTCGATCTGAATCAAAAGCATTCAGTCTAGCAGCCATCCGCATGGCAATACTTGCTGATCTTGTGACTTCCGGGTTCAGATTCTCCATCCTGAACCCATATGACAATTGCAGGAATTAATTCTGGAAATTAAGGTGGGTTTTGTATAAAGGCTTTGTGCTGTCCTCCCTTTCAGGTTGCATCATAGATGTCTTGCAATGCTGACATCTGTTTATCTCTGTTTCTTGATATTCCAGTTACCAGAAAAGCTGATAAACAAGTATAGCTGGATCAAGCAATGGAAACTTGGACTGAAGTTTGATGGGAAGAATGAGGACCTGGTTGAAAAAATTACGGAGTCACTTGCCCTGCTGAGGACGAAGGTCTGACCCGTGTGATTCTCTGTCTCAGATGCATGTAAAGCTTCCTCTTTTGTTCCCCAGAAGATTCTATGCTCTAGGCTTATTTATTTATTCATAGTTCTTCTTTAAGTTTATAAAGAAAGAAGGTTCATTTTGGCTCTTGATTCTCTTTAGAAGCCAGAATTTGCTGGTTTCAGACAAAATAATTTGGGGCTGAGGGAATCGTGTGATCAGTAAAATGCATGACCAGAAACTGAGTTTGGTCCTCAGAAGTCACATACGAAGGCCAGGTAGGGTGGCACATGGTTGTAATCTCAGCATTGTAGAGAAGGGCACAGGAGGACCCTGAAGCTCACTGACCAATGAGTCAGTGAGAGACCCTAATCTCCACGTGCATGCACACACATTTGTACCCTTACACATGTGCACACATACACTTGCATGCACATTGAAAAAGAAAACTTTGAAAGAGCATAAATTCTTTCCATAAAGTCTTTGGTAAAATGAGAAGCACCGACGTTCTGTTTTCTTAGAGGTGGTGCTGTATACAAGTATGTCAGATAACACTTAATTTTCTTCAGAAGAAACCTTAATAAATATAATTTTTATTCTAAGTCATGTTTTTTAAGTTTCAGGGTTATCATTTAGCCTATATTTCTTTCTTTGATTTATTTCATGTGAGTGTTTGTGCATATGGGTACCCATGGTGACCAGAAGAGGATGTTAGATTTCTCAAACTGGAGTTAGAGGTGATTGTGAGCATGACACCCTCTGCAAGAGCGGCAAGTGCTCCTTACTGTGAGCTGTCTCTCCAGCCCTTTGGCGTGCATTCCTGTTCTCAGTGGCCACTGTGTGTTCATGAAGTTCTTTCCAGTTATTTTAGGAGTCTGCCCATATGTGTTTAAAAGTCTTTTTTGTTGTTTTTTTGTTTGTGTTTTTGTATTTTGAGACAAGGTTTCTCTGTGTAACAGCCCTCACTGTCCTGGAACTAGCTCTTGTAGACCAGGTTAGGCTTGACTCGTAGAGATCTGCCTGACTTTGCCTCCCAAGTGCTAGACTAAAGGCGTGTGCCACCACCGCCTAGCATGTTCAAAACTCTTTTTTGGTAAATCAGTTTAGTGAATTGTCTTTTGAAACCGTCCCAAGAGTTGTATGGACTTGGTACGCTTACTTCCCCTGCTCTGGTGTATATAGTTCTACCTTTCTGTGGTAGAGTGCACTATAAGAGCATGGTTATTCTTGTCTATTAGAGTGTAGTGTGCAGTGTTTAGGGGCTAGGAGCCTGCACCTACTTACTCAGCTGCTGTCATAGGGGAGCGGTGAGGGCAGACTGCAGCACTGTGGCGGAGGGAGTGGAAAGTTTGTCAGCTTAGCTAGAGGTTGCAAATCTATTTTTTTTTTTTTTTTTTTTTGCAAATCATATTTTTTAGGGTCTGGTGAAACTGTTAGTTTTGTTTTATTGTGTATGTTGACTGTAACTGGACCCTTCTTTGGGGAAATGTGTATGTGATCCCAATTTTCAGTAACATTAAAATTGCTCTTTAATAATCTGTGCCAGCAGCTGTCACGCTTCTTTTTGTCATACTTGGCACTAAAAGTTACTTGGGATGCTCTACCTTTACTACCAAAAAGTCAGATGGCTGTGGTCATCCTGTTCTAAAGATGAGGATCCACAGCCTGGAAGTCGATAAAGCCACCCTGCATAGCCAATCTTAATTATATCATGACTTTCTGACTCTAGAATCTTGCTCCTAGCCAGAAGCATGGTCTACTTCTAGAAAGTGGGAGATGTGGACAATGTATTCCAGCTGTGAAGATCAGAGGGTTCCAAATGGTCATGGCCATTAACAATTCTCTCAGTTTTAAAGTCTGGATTGGTGTTTGAAAGCAGTGCTAATTAATGCTTATTCGTAAAGACTGGTATTTATAGTGACATCTTTTTCTTTCATGGTATCTTAGCAGTACACATATTTACAATGTTTTCTTGTTCATTTTAAGAGTTTGCCTATTATCTGAACTTTTAATTAAGAATCAAGAGTTTCTGATTGGACTTGTTCATTAGACACATGTATATTTTTAAGACATTATTGGGGTAAGTTTAATAAACCAGTATTCAGGAGATCCCACAGTCTTCCTGTAGTCTTCCATTTCAGAGACTTCTGTGCGTATTTCTGGGGGTAAGGTTCTGAAACCCCTTCCAGGTGTAAAAGCCATAGCTGTCTTCATCACTCTCACACACTGTTCTTCCAGACGCCTCTGATTGTTGTGTTGTTCTTGTTGCTTGGGAAGTTAATGGAGTTCACACTTCCACCTCACATCCCATGCTTCCTCGTACTGGGTTGCACTTCTGTTTCACATTTACAAGGGGAGAAGCTAAGGGGCTCATATCGCCTGAATACCCTTGTGAGAAGTGAGAACTTGAACCTCGTTACATTGGCATGTATATGTCTTATGGTCCCCTACTTTTGAAAAGCATTACACATGGTACAGAAGTATGCCAGGGATTTTCAGAACAAAACTCTAATTGTGACAACTTTTATTGTAGTGGGCGCGCCTGGCAGAAATGAAGACTGCTGAAGCACGGCAGGTAGCTTGTGATGAACTGTTCACAAATGAAGACGAGGAGTACAGCCTCTATGAAGCTGTGAAATTCCTAATGCTAAACAGAGCCATCGAACTCTATGATGATAAAGAGAAGGGAAAGGAAGTCCCGTTTTTTTCTGTGCTCTTATTTGCTCGAGACACATCAAGTGACCCTGGACAGCTACTGAGGAACCACCTAAACCAGGTGGGACACACTGGTGGCCTTGAGCAGGTGAGTTGTGCCTTTGAGAGTATTTTATCTCTGTTAGCACCAAATGGGATCTCACAGTTTGTAGGTCATTTCAGGAACAGCTTACCTAGGTGCTTCTGGTCCAGCATCTCTTGAGCTATAGGCTTCAGTCTCGATTGGGGCTGGACATTTTACTTGCATGTCTTACATGCATGACTTTTGTCAGAAAACCTCAGTTCTTCATTGGTAGCCAGAAGGGGAGTATTCCTCACCATACGGGCCATTCTCTGTAGGGCTAGGATGATACAGTCTCACTTATCCCACTTTCTGTTTATTAGAAGCTAGTCACTAAATACATTCCTTACTCAAGGAAATGAGGTTAGTCCTGACCCTTACACAGTCCTAGGATTGCTTCTGCAAAGTGATGTAGTTCTCTTGACTCTGGCAGGCTAAAATACTTCGTAAAGCACCAGGTAGAGCCATCTGAGGTGCTTGTTTAGTCTTGGCTGCTGTATCAGAAAAGCCTAGCCTCTCAGCTCTGGTCTTCTGTAGAAGCTAAATTTAGAGTATTGTGCAGCTTCTCTAAGCCAAAAGTCAAGTCACCTTATCGTGTTTTGCTTTTTATGTCATTTCTCTAAAAAATATTAATACTGTGTATGCATATGTGTGTGTATGTGCGCGCAATTGGCTAACCACTAAAGTAACACTAAGGCTGAATTTAACTTGCTACCTTTCTTGGACTCCTGTGCATGATTTTTCCTGAAAAGACCAAAGTATCAGGACTGATGCTTCCAGAAATAGTCAAGTTGAGTTTCTCTGAGTCTTTCTGGCAGGTAGACATCTATGAAACCTATTCTGTTGTTTTGCTTAAGGAGTAAGAAAGAGTAAAAGACTGGTGGTTATTGCTAGGCCAGCAATATTTATGATTACTTAAAATAGCTGTTTGTGCTCAGAATGCCCCTGAACTGAAGCAAAGACCGTGTGTGGCAAACACTCCAGTAGGACTTGGTCTACATGCTAGGCTTAAGTTAGTCCTTTCAAAGACCCAGCAAGCTCTGCTACAATGCTGCATCCTCTTTAAATATTGTCCCTTTTGAAATATAACTTAAGCACCATTAATTCTTCCTTTTAAAGCATTCTAATCAGCAGTGGAGTTTAATCTCGGGCCATGTTGGAGCTCCATAAAGTAACCCAAAACCCATTCAGGCTTCTTTTCCTCCAACCTTAAGTAGTCATAATCTTCTTTCTGGCTATAGAGCTGCTTATTCTGGATGTCCTTAGCAGTAGAGTCATACACTGTGTGATATTTTGTGACTGGGTTTTTCATTTAGCATGTCTTAAGATGCATCATGTTTTAGAATGCATTGGTACTTTATTCCTTCTAATCAGATAATAGGACATTGTATGGCAATATCATATTTTACTCATTCATCAGCTTGATGAGTATTTGGGTAGTTTCTTCTAATTGCTGTGAATATTTATTGACTGTATGTGTGTACATGTGTTTCTCTTGGGTATATGTCCAAGAGCAGAGTTGCTGTGGGCAGATGGTAATGTTGTGACATTTTAAGGAATGTCGCTTAGTGCTAGAACATGTGCATACCATGCTTGGGGCCCAGAACACGTGCATACCATGCATGGGGCCCAGAACACGTGCATACCATGCATGGGGCCCAGAACACGTGCATACCATGCATGGGGCCCAGAACACGTGCATACCATGCATGGGGCCCAGAACACCTGCGTACCATGCATGGGGCCCAGAACACCTGCGTACCATGCATGGGGCCCAGAACACTTGCGTACCATGCATGGGGCCCAGAACACTTGTGTACCATGCATGGGGCCCTGACTTTGATCCCTAGCATTGCTAAAGAAGAAAAAGAGAAGCACCTGCCCTGTTTTACATCCCAGCAGCAGTTTGTGTTCCATTTTTCTGTATCTTAATTATGTTTTCACTGCCTTTTAAAAATTGAGATGAAGTTCACAGAATATAAATTAACCATTTAATGTCTGATTAATTGACAGTACATTTTCAGTCCCCATATGTTTTTATCAGTCCCAAAGAAAACACTATTCATGGGGCAGTCATCTGTCTTTTTGATTATATTTAAGTTTTTATGGGTATAAAGTACTATCTCCTTATGGCTTTGGTTTGCTTTTCTCTAAGGGCTTATGATTTAATGTGGTTATTGGCCATTCATGTATCTTCTTTGGAGAAACGTCTTCCAAGTTCTTCATTCAGTTTTAAATTGTTTTATTAATCATTGATTTGGGAGCATTCTTAATATATTCCAAGTATAAGTTCCTTATCAGATAATGCACTCCATTCTTTATAGCCCCTCCCTTGACTAGGTTCAGAGGGGAGGAGGAAGGTTGCAGTGAAGCCAATGCCTCTCATTGTCTGGGATAATGGGTACAGCTTGGTGTTAGGCCCCATCTGTGGCTCCCCTCAGAACACTCACTTGCTTTTCCTTCTCAGGTTGAAATGTTCCTTCTTGCATATGCTGTTCGCCACACCATCCAGGTGTACCGGTTGTCCAAGTATAACACTGAAGAGTTCATCACAGTCTATCCCACTGATCCCCCCAAGGACTGGCCAGTGGTGACCCTCATAGCTGAGGATGATCGGCACTATAACATCCCTGTCAGAGTGTGTGAGGAGACAAGTCTGTGAGAGACACCCATGTGGCCAGCTGTGAGAGGCAGCACAGGTGCACACGCAGCTCCTTCTCTGGGGCCTCGGGGCTGCAGCTCTCCAGGGACAATCCGGGAGAACCCTTGGGCCCCTGGAACCAACGGGAGCTGTGATGCTCTGAAGACTAACTGTTGATAACAAGAAGTAGCCAAGTCATTGTTCTATCTGTTACACAGTGTGTCTCACTGGGGGCTTCAGCATGTGCCTTTGGGAGGTACAAACAACTTCTCAGTACAGCAGATGTTTTTGTGTCAGAGGAAATTGTTTGCAAAGAAACATGTCCAATGAAAGTTCTGATGGTAAACTGGTGTTACTTTTTAAGACAGTAGTTTTGTTTTTGACTTTTATTCTTTTGGAGTTCATGGTGATTGGTCCCATTAGTGGTCTTCCTATGAGATATGCTTAAGTGGTAATATCCTGGAGTGGATAGTTACAGTATCTTTTGTTAGCTTCACCTGCTTTTGGAGGGATGACCAGTGAATTTATATTTATATCCCAGTTAATACTATTTTAAGTAGATTGTCTCTTAGAGGATTAAGAATTGGGTCTCAGAGTAGATTTTTTTGAAGCATGGAAAAGATAAAGGAGAGCACAGGGAGGAGTCTAGACACTGATTTCTGAGGCTTGGTGCCCTGGCATTGAGAGATCCTGTTGGCACATGTGCCCTAGTGTTGGGGTTGTGGATTACGATAAGTTCCAATGGTCACGATTCTACCCTCAGAACCAAGTTTATATCCACCTGTTTACAGAAGTGGAAATGAAAACTGTCTCTGAAGTTGACATGTTCTCCTTTGCCCCTTTCATGCTCTTGAAGATCTCACGAACTGCCAAACCCATATGTGATAGGATGAGAGACAGCCAACTATCCAGGATGTCTGATAGGCAAGTAAAGCAGAAGCATATGGTAAGCAATGCAAAAGTGCATAGCTGCTTGGGCAGCTAGAAGGAGGCAACCGTGCTAGCTATGATAGGTCTGTGTGCATGGCACAAGCCATGGCCCTGACTTGGAGACCTGCTAAGCATGGGGTACCTTGGGTCCTTTGTTTCCCTTGAGGGCCATAGCCCATGGTCTTTGTTCATGGCAACCAGACACACCCCTCTTTAGGATTCCATTTGTATCACCCCAGTCGGTTCAGCATTTGTTGGTGCCGTTATCTTGATGAGTTGAATTTATTTTTTCATAGTTAAAACCTTTAATTTAATCCAGTTCATACAGATGATGAGCACCTTGTTTTGGGAGGCAGGATAACCCTTTAAAATATAAATTGTCATTTAATTAAAAATTAAGTCTTAAAAAATATTGTCTTAGGTAGGAAAACTCAGGATATACAAATCATTCAGTAGTAGTTCTTCTGTTCCCTTGTGAGAAATCACAACCTTTGGTTAACTGTTCAGTGCTGTGCTGTGTGTAACTATGGTAGAGAGTCTGTGTTTTCACTGTGAAATGCTATGGTACCCTTGAGAGAGGAGGTACCTACCATCCAAGTTAAAGTAATAATAGCGGCTTACTGTTGACTTTGACATTTTATTTTGTTTGTAATTAAATAGTAGGAAATGCCTGCCATTCGTGTTTTGAAGAGTTTTGAAACCAGAACTTGAAATGCTTAGATAATTCCTAGTAGGAGTCATTTGTGCTGTTTGGGGACCTCAAAACTGTCCATGAGGCTTAGTCACTATTGAATTTTAGCAGTGCTCTTGGTAATACTCATGCTTACCTGCATTTTAAAGACAAGCTAATCTTAGTGAGCTTGAACTGGACTTCTAGGAAACCTCTTTATATTTGATACTTCCTTCTTGTTTGTGATATTGTTAGATACAGTTTCCCTATATTATGTCCCATGAAGTTAATGTTGCCTTTTCAGAATGTTTTCAGATTTTCTTGCTCACCTGTGTTGGTTGTGGATGTGCAACACCTGTTGGTTGAGTCATGCTTGTGGTCATGGTGGCAGCATTTAGTGCCTCTAGTGAGTTGGATATGAGATAGTTGCATTTCCTCCTGTATGCATAAGGAAATATTCTCAATGCATAGAGGAGGCTTCATCTTGTTTTCCTATCTAGCTGCCAACTCTTTGATTATACTACAGAATATTCAGTCGTGTCTGATGAGCTTTTTCTTGAAGAAAAATGACATTGCATGTCCTTTTGTGTATTTTTTCCTTCCAATTTTAGGACTTACTAAGGAAAATTGCATACCATATGAATTGATAAAACTTCTGTTGGAAGAACAGGTTTTTTTGTTTTGTTGTTAATTTATTTGGTTGATTTTGACTTTCTGAGACATAATCATTCTCAGGTTTTCAACTCCTGAGAGCTATGAACGTAGGGATTGCCACCATAGTAGTACATTTGTGAGGTCTTATGTGTTGAAGTGGCTCTGTGCTGTTCTTCCCGTCCCCTCCTTTTCACCCACATGTGCTCTTTACCTAAGAAACAGTGGTCTTGTTTTTGTGAAGGTCTTGTAGATGTTTTTTGAGGTGATGTATTACCCACGATGAACCTCTGATGGTGACTGTATGAGCAGGACTGACGTACACTTCCTGCCATGTCTTCCTTTGATATAAAAATTTAGTTTGATCAGTTTCTTATCTTTTTTTCTTAGCATTACTTTGCAGGTGTTGCCTGCTGAAAGCTGGAGCGTATTTTTGGGAGCGTAAACCATTGAGGAGACTCTTGCTTGTCGGTGTACATAAAACAGACAGCTTTGCGTTAAGCTCTGATGTTCCTTAAAAAAGCAATAACGGCACTAGAAGTAGAAAGCCTTCAGTTGTGCTTTTCATCTGAGAGAAACGCCAGAGCCCAGTTTGGCAAAGGTGGAGAGCAATGTCAATTTACAGTTTTAGGAAGGTCTGAGGAACTAAGAGGGGAGCTGAAGGACGAACTGGCTTCAGAATGCACTTTAAAACGATGCAGGTCTTAGTTTCAAAAGACCTGTTGCTCTAATAAAAAGCTCTGACAAAGGCAACTTAAGGAGAGAAGGTTTTATTTTAGCTCACTGTTCAAGGGGTCCATCATGACAGGGAAGTCAGGTGGCAGGACCTTGAAATAGCTAGTCACATGACATGCCCAGGCAGGAACCCAAAGCAGTGAATGCATGCTGCTGCCCAGTTCCTTTCTGCATTTATGTAGCCCACGGTGCCAGCCAGGGCATGGTGTCACCAAGGTGAATGGATGCTCTCACCTCAGTGAAGGCGGTCATGGTCATCTGCAGGCATGCCCAAGAGGTTCATCACCCATGGAAGTCTAGATTCTGTTAAGTTGGCAATTAACACTAACTGCCACACTGTATAAAAACAAAAGCAGTAGATGCTCAACAGACTATGCTTAAATTATAAGAGAATAAAACTCTGAATGAATTTGAAGAGTTAATGAATAAATATATTCCATTGACTCCTCCCCAAATTTAAGTCCTTTCTTTTAAGATCCTCTCTTCAGAGGATAGGGGATCTGGTGCTTAGCCATGCAGCCCTTGAATAAAGGTGTGAGTGAGGACATTCATGCCATGGATAGCACCAGGGTCAACTGCTTCTGTACCCTTGGCTGCTTTCCCCAGGTCAGTAACACATAATCAGTACAAGAAAGGGACACGGAGCACAGCACGTAGATAGCCTCGGTCATCATTCTCCAGTAACCAGTGCTTCAGTCTTAATTTTAAACCTCTAAGTAAATTTGTGATTAATTTTAGTTTTCATTTATCTATTGAAAATTGCCTTGATCTACAATAACATAAATGGTGCTAAAAATATGGTAGCCCTTACGAGAACGCAGCAGCCACTGTAGTGTTGTGACTTCAGAGTAGGCCAGATGAATGTGAGTAGTGAATGCCCTTTCATTTCCATTCTGTCTGTGAAAGGACTGGCTTTGTTCCCTGTATTGTAGCAGCTCGAGGAGGTTGGCAGCCCACTCGGAGATTCTGCCTGGGGGAGGGCATGGTTTCCTCTGGGGATCATCATGAGATGCACGTATGAAGCTTGCTGTGCTCTTGCCACCTTGATTAGCAAAGTCTGCTCTTGGTACGCTGGCATGGCAATGCTGCTCAGTCGTCCACTGCCCTAAAAGCCATACTCCTAAGCTGGGGACTGATCTCAGGTGCCTGGCCCATGGGGTGGAAGTTTCCTGTCATTTGTAGTGTCTCTTGTCTTCACTGTTCAAGATTGAGCTTCCTCTCGGTCTTTGCTTTTGATTCCTTTAATACACTCAGATGCCAAGGATTGTGAAAACAGCTCAAAATAAACTTAGTAAACTCTGAAGCCTGTTCTGGTGCTGTGGTTAAGTATCTGCTTTTAAGGACCATGGCAGACTGGGACCTGTGCTGAAGTCAGCTCTGACATCTCACCGCCTTTGTGGGCAGAGGGATTAAGATTTGGTGTGTGGGGAGCTGGAGAGATGGCTCAGTAGTTAAAGAGTACTGGCTGCTCTTCCAGAGTACTCTGGTTTAATTCCCAGCATCCACATAGCAGCTCATAATGTTCTGTAACTCCAGGGGGCCTGACACCATGGCAAAACACCAAAGCACATAAAGTAAAATAAGATTTGGTGTTTGTTATTAGGCAGTGCTGAAGGTAGAAGATATTCTGTGATCAGCACAGTGTCTGAAGGTATGCAGTTTGACTGTAGATCTGGGCCGAACAACAGTTCCACTGCCTACTCTAAGTAAGATGAGCATGACTTGGGTAAGTTACCAATCCTCCCTAAATCTTTATCTTAACCGTGCACAACCTGTCTGAGGTGGTGGTGGAGAAAGATGCCCTCAGCCTGCAAAACAGATCTCCAACAATAATAGTCCTTGTCACGTGTTTGCTGGGCAAAGGCTACTACGCACAGAGCTCCTTTCATCTGTGTTGACCATTCTAGTTGCTGAAAATGCACCTGTAAGTGGGATAGCAAGAGCTCGTGTGGGGACTGTCACAGAAAAAGGTAATGGAAACCGGGGAACAGAGCTCTCGCTTAGTCGGGCCACTAATAGGTTTTGTAGTCCTCAGAGAGCAGTGTTGTGTCACTAACAGAAATCAAAACAAAAAAGAATGACAGAAACCCTTTCTGTCTTAAATAAGTCAGTGCTCCAACTCATTGTTGACAATTGGGGCTCTCTAAAGTTGAATCTGAGGAAGGAGGCAAGAGGCAGAGCTAAGATTTTAGGACTAGTACTGCTCTAAGCCAGCCTCACCCCCCCTGGGCCTGGCCAAGGCTTAGCTCACATTCTCTACTCTTGGGGTATATTCAGGGACCCTTCTGTCCTCCACCTATTCCCCAGTTCAGAGCTTTTCATTGACAGCTGCCTTGATGTGCCAACACTTTCTCCTTGTAAGCTCAGAATCCAGTGA